ACCATCTAGATGTTTTCCTCTTGCTTTTGCTATATCATGATAAACAGCCACACTGTCCAGTCTTTGTGAACATTCCCAATTGCTTCTTTTGATGAAGTGGAAATTGAAATTCTGGGTCAAAAATGTATAAAAGCAGTTTAATTCATTACAAGAATTGTAAAAAGTTCTAAGTGCTGTCTCACTGATGGTGAGCGAAAACCTTCTCCTCTACATTTTTATCAATACTAGGTATTATGTCTTTGTTCATCTTTGCCAGTTCGATAAAGTAAAAAATGACAACTGATTATTTCAATTTGCATTTCCTTGTTTACACAGGGCAGTTTCCATACGTTTATTGATCATTAGTTTTTTTCTTTAAAAAAAAACTGATTTTTGGAGCTATCTTCATATTACGTATACTGACCCTTTGTTTTATATATATAATAAATCATTTTTCTAGTTTTCTGTTTTCTTTTTGCTTTTTTGTTGGAGTGGGTAACAGAAGAATTTAAAAACACTTGCTTGAACTATTGAAATTTTCTTTCATGGTATGTCCCTTCATGCTTAAAAAGTCTTTGCCTGCCAGGCAATTATGCAAATATTTATTTTTGTTCCCTTCTAGTAATTTGATAGTTTTTCATGTTCACATTAAAATTTGTAGTTCATCTGGAATTTTTTAATGTAAAGTATGAGATAAAAATCAAATTTAATTGTTTTTCCAAGTGGTTAGCCAGATGTCTCAACAGTGATTTTGGAATAATTCACTCTTTCCTTACTGATTTGAAAGGTCACTTTATTTTATCCTAAATTCTCATAAGTACATAACTGTTTATGGACCACATTATGAAGCTCAGTTTGCCAATTATGATACCAGTTATACATTGTTTCAATTACTGCAGCTTTTTATACTTCCTGAAATTGATTAGGGCAAGTTTCCACATTTTTTTTCTTGGCTTTTTTGGGGTACAATTATTCGTCCATATAAACTTAAGACTTACTTCGTTAATTGAATAAGCAAGCCCTACTGGAATTTTCATTGAGATTGAATTAAAAGTAAATATTCATTTGAAGACAGTTGATGTTTTTACAACACCCAGTTACTGTTCCACTTAATAATAGTGATAATGATAATAATAAAGTCATACCTGTAGCCAGTAGCCATTGGCTGCTTACAGATGCTAGGCTCTGTTCTAAGCCTAACTCACACATTTAAACCTTATAACAACCTGTGATAAAGGTGCTATTGTTACCATACTTATTTTGGAGACAGAGAAACTGAGGGATGGAGATGTTAACTGACTTGCTAAGGCCACAGAGCCAGGATTCTTCTCCTGGTGCTTTGCCTCTTGAATCTGTGCCCTGCCTTCAGTTTATACCACTTCTCTATGTATTCAGACTTTCTTCATCTCCCTCACAAAGTTTTGTAACTTTCTTTCTAAATATGTTTACAAATATGATCAAATTAGTTCTTACTAGATTATATATATTTTATTTTATTTTTTCCCCCTGGTACTGGGAATTGAACTCAGGGGCACTAAACCAATGAGCCACATCTCCAGCCCTAGTTTGAATTTTATTTAGAGACAGGGTCTCACTGAGTTGCTTAGTGCCTTGCTGTTGCTGAGGCTGGCTTTGAACTTGTAATCCTCCTGCCTCAGCTTCCCAAGCCACTGGGATTATAGGTGTGTACCACTGTTCCTGGCTTATAATTGTTGTTGCTACATTTTTCCTAGGATATTTTCTAACTGATCATTATTGGGTTTTGGTAAAGCTATTGATTGTTTTATGTGAGGTATTTTATTTTGAAAACATTGAGCTTGATAATCTTCTTATTAGTCTAGTAGCTTTGCTAATTCTAGTTTTCTAGGAAAATACAAATATGTTAAAAGCAGTGACATTTTTCAGCTGTTCTCTTGCGCTATTATAATGATCGTGGCATTGGCCAATATGGTAGTCATTGGCATATGTGGCCAGTACACTTATATTGATTAAAATCAAAAGAAATTAATAATTCAATTCTTCAATTGCACTAGCCCTAATTCAAATGCCCAACAGCCACCTATGGCTTGTGGCTACTATCTTGGCTAGCATTTCAGAAGATTTCCATCATCTCTGAGAGTTCTATTGGACAGTGATGTAACACCTCAGATCAATGTTACATAACAGTGGTGAACTGGGTTGTGTTGTTATTTTATTCCTAACTTTAAAGTGAATATCTCTAAATAGAATGATGTTGTCTTTTGAGTCCAAATATCTAGATAAGTTTTTATTATGTTGAAGAAGTCTTATTCTATTCCTAATTTTCTCTCTCTATATATTTTTTCAATTTGGGATGGATAATGAATTTTAATACCTTCTTGGCATCAATAAATTTTGCTATGGGAAAGGCAAATTTTCCCTCTTTTTTCAAAATTTTCTTAGCCTGGCCCTTTTGAAATGCATTGCTAGAAGCTACTTGTCAATATTTTATTTAGATGTTTATTTTCAGTGAGCTTCATCTAAAATATTCTCTATTTCTAGTGCTCTCGTCTAGTATTATTTTAAATTGACATTATATCACTGAATATATAAATTGAGAATCTGTTTATTTCTTCTCTGTAAAAAAGGTTGAAAAGTATATATCAGATATGGGTCACCTGTCCATAAAATTATGGTGAAAACAAATCTGGGTCTGGTACTTTGGTTGGGGGTAGCATTTCTTCTCTTTTAGTTCATGCATTTTGTCTGCACATATGTCTAATCACACTGGTTCATCCAGCCATGAAGTTGTGTTTTAGTGAATACACTTTTTCAATTCTAGAATTTACACTCAGTTCTTCTGCACAGGGGCACTTGCCAGGTGTTCTTCTCCTATGACTTCTGTGATCTCTTTACACATTTTTAATGTGTTTATTTTACATTCTCTTTCAAATTGTTCTATATTTCTCCCTTCTTGGTTGTTCTGCTGTTTATTTCATCCATCTTTATATGGTTTGTCTCTTGTGCCAAGAGCCCACCTTTAGAGGGTGTTGTTTGCTGCAGGGTGCCATGGGCTTGGGGGGTGTGCAGGTTCCCACAGAGGGGATGTGGAAACTCTGATGGCCTCATCAGGGCCACAGGGATCAGGGTCTCGTGAACACATTGGGGGTGGGTTTATAGATTTGATGCTTCTGTATCACACGGGTGGTAATAACAACCTGTGGACTTGGTTCTGCTACTTCCTTCCTTGCCCCATTTAATGTGTGGTATATCCCTTTAGGAGTGCTGCTTGCAGCATATAGTTGGATCAGTTGGCCTTTGTCTTCTTTAACCGTTAGTGCTGTGCTGGAAGCTAATTAGGTTTGTGGTTTAAGCCAACTGCCTAACCTAATGGTCTTTATTTCTTTTTTGAATATGAATGAGGCTGAGAGCCTTTGCATGTGTTGGTGAGTATATACAAGGGGAGGAGGGAGTAAAAGGATGAGCTGGTTTCATAAGAAATGAAATTCCATGGAAAAATTGAAAATAAGCCTTCAAAATATTACTGTACATTTGCATTTCATCTTATCCTGACAGAGCATCTTGTGGGACCTTTCAAGTAATGGACTATAGAATAGGCACTTTCTTCCATTTATCTTCATAGAAGTTGAATTTGAAATCACTCTTGTCTGGGAGGCAAATTAAACCCCCAGGAATTTCTGATTAGACTTGGGTTTTTGGTTTCAGGAGAGGGAATGCAGATTTAAGTGACATCACAATTGAAGGGAAAAAGAACTCTGCAGGGAGCACTTATCCAACTGTCACACCTTGACTACTCAGGGACATTGCACAATGTTTTCAAACAGCACACACTTTTTGGATATGTGAGACCATTTCCAATTTTTAGAAAAACTTTCTGAATGCTTCCAATGTTTGATATTATTCCAAGGCCAGGAATTCCAGATGTTTGTAAGAAAGCCACTAAATATCTCTGTTTAAATATTCAAGTGAGTTTTAAGACATCAGGGAGGAAAAAAAAATGCACATCTCTCAATTCTTTTTTAAAGACAGGATCAGACCTTCCTCCCCGGGCTCTAAGGAGGATGGAACTAGTGTGAGTGGTCAGTCAGTCAGTAAATGCAAGTCCTCTCATCCTTGCTCTTTCTACCTGTTAGAGCCACTGTGACAAAATGATGCAGCATTGAGAGCACAGCGCACTTGGGAAAATGCAGTATATTATGAGTGCTGTTTATCATTGCAGATGCAGAATCAATAATTATCTGTGTGATGGATGCCAGATGCAAACAATAACCAGGGCTCCTGGCATCTGCAACTCCCATAGTCAGTGTTCCCCAACTCTCCTGGACAGCCCCATGAATCACACATGGCTTTCAATTAAGAACTTGCCTGCTGCAAATGTCTCCTGCAGGTTCCAATATTATGACAATTCATTTTTCTCATGAAATGCACTTTGTTTTACTTCCATTTTCCTGTATTTCATGTAAGGTATTCACCACGATGAGAGTTTCTTGGCTACTCCAAGTAAGAATCATCCAGATGCAAAGATGTTCCAGAATCTATGCATGCAAACCTAATAGTTTGGCTTTTGGTTTATTCAGGATTAATAAATTTAAGGCACCTCTTTTTTTTTCCACTGGAGAGTCTGCAATGCTTTGTTAAGAAACCTCAACTCCACAAACCCTGATTATTCAGTGCCTGCACAGCCAACTGGGAGTGACTGACTTTGTAGATGGAAATGGACAAGGAAGCAAGTACCCTCTTCCTCCTGAGGGCAGGAGCAGAACCTCTGCTTGCCACAGTGAAGCTGGTGGGGAAATGGAGGCTCACATTCAGCCTTGCCCTGCTGCCCAAGTGGGGCACCCTCAGTGCTGTGCCCATGCAGAGGGGCACCTTTTCTGATCAGGACCAAGGCACGATAGGGCTAACTGTGCCCTGCTGGAGAACTTTCCAGTAATGAAGACTCTTCTTTGCAGATTCTATGTGTGTGGCCTTACTGGAAAATGGGCTGGGAATTCCCTCCCCTGAAGCAGGCTGAAAAACCCACCAATTCTGCAAGGACTTACTGAGTGTGACCGAGTCATTGATCTTGAAGCTGCAGAGGACCCTGTCCACGTTGCGGGCATGCCGGAAGCCATTTCCTCTCACAACAACTTGAAATGACTCTGAAATGGAGAATTGACAGGACCCATGACTTGACCATCACCCTTAATCTTCTGGTCTGCTTTGACTTAACAGCTTTTGTTAGCAATTTCGCCAGGCTTAAAATATTTGTTGGAAACCCAAAGCAACCATGTTTGTTCCCTTTCCCACCAACCCACTTGTTCTCACCAGGTGTTCATGACCAAGGCTTATTACCTGGTCTCATGAACTCCCCCCTTCCTACCTTTCCTCTTGAGGATCCTCCTAATTGGAATACCTTCCTCCCTCCTCTTTCCATTCAAATCTTACCTGTATTTTTGAGCCCAGGAAGTTTTTAAAAACAGCAAGAGGGGCCACAGAGAGGGATTCTCCATTCCTTCTTCAATCAACCCAAGTCTCCTTGGGTCTGTTTTACAATTTGGGATCCTGAAAGGATTTCTGTAGAGCCCAGGGTGCCTAACATTTTTTTGGAAACCACTTCTTTCTCAGCCAGCACTGAACAGTGCAGTATGTAATTATGTAACGTCTGCTGTTGTTCTTTTGTCTTTTTTTAATCCCCCAACTAGAAAAACACCACTTTAGTGGTAGTTGTTGGATATGCTGCTGCAATCCTATCTCTGCTGGGGACACAGTGGTGGTGTGTAGGTTTATATAGGAATAACTGTTCTTTTTTTTTTGGTACCAGGGAGTAAACTCAGGGACACTCAACCACTGAGCCACACCCCCAGCCCTATTTAGTATTTTATTTAGAGACAGGGTCTCACTGAGTTGCTTCGCCCCTCGCCTTTGCTGAGACTGGCTTTGAACTCGTGATTCTCCGGCCTCAGCCTCCTGAGTTGCTGGGATTACAGGTGTGCGCCACCGTGCCTGGGGCTGGAATAACTGTTCATAGCAATATATGCAAGTCTTGTTCATCTGTGGTCAATTGTCAAGCAAGACCTGTTTGAACTGACACTGGCCCGTGAGTGTAGCACTTGTTTCTCTCTAAATAGAAGAGATAATATATTTCCCAGGCCTGCATATTATTTAACACTGATGCACATTGAATTAATGTATATGAATAAAATCCTATTATTTATAATAGTTGTATCAAAGAAAAAAACAACTAACAAATTAGCTCAACACTTAGGAATATTTGCTCAAAACTGATGCTATCTAATGATCAATGCTCCACTTTCTTTTATTTTTATCACTACTATGTGTATAAAAATTGGGGGTTGGGATAATGCTATATGGCATATAAAAATAGAAACAGACTAAAAGTCAGAGGGAAAAAATGCAGTATTTTTGCAAATGGATCTTTAATTGTAAACTGCTATCCAAATGGAGACTTTGTTGGAGGGAGAATGGAATTAGAGAACTAGCATATGGGACTCTTTTGGAGTTAAATAACTGTTGAGTCTATGTCACTTTCATCTCAAGAAATTAATTTAGAAGTCGTATTTGCCAAGACATAATAATTGATGGTTAATCCTTTAGTGTGTGCCAATTCCAGTGCTAAACCCTGAATATGTCTGATGTCACTTCAACCTCATTGCAGCCCAGGGAAGAACAAATGAGAAACTGATCTTTGTGAGGTCAGGTAATTTGTCTAAGATTACACAGATAATAACTGTCAGAACCAGAACCAGAATCCAGGTCTGCCAGGAACCAAATGCCATGCTCGTAGAAATCGGCCATTTTCCTCCTAACCATTATGCTAAAATAGATACTCATTGTCTTGTGACAGATGAGTAAGTTAGAAGTTGGGGTTATGATTTTTTTAAAACCTTATTTTATTTTAATTTCAGGCATGTTTGCTCATTTTGCAGAAAAGTGGAGCTGGCCTGGATGTGAAGCAAGAAACTGAAATCTAAGTAAAAGAACCCGGAGGCACTGCATGTACCACAAGGAGTACAAATAAGAACAGAATGCTTTTAGAAGCATAAGAGACCTTAACAATAAGGAAATCGAGATTTTGACATTTTAATGACTTGCTCAGAGTTACGTAATTAGTAGGCAGCACACTGGGACTTATATCCAAGTGTTCAGAGCCTAAGCTGTGAATTATACTAATGAAGGTCATGGGCATATGATTTCTCAGGACCATAGGTCTTATTAAGGATTTACCTATGCATGTTGGTGCCGAGACAAAATTACTACATTTAGAAATTAGAAAGATGGATTTAATACTTTTATTTATATGTTTGCCAGGCATGTGACTGATTATTCGGTTGGTTCAACAAGCATTTTATTAAGTGGCAAGCATTGTGGAAGAATCTTATTGCACCTTACTTGCTCAATTAAGTCTAAAGAAACCTATTTCTATCTCTAGTTTGTATGCTAGACATAGACATCTGCTGTTGGACGTTTTTGCTGATTCCAAATGCTTTTCTGCCTTGCTGCTGTGCCTACTTCTCTTGTTTCCTCAAAAATCAGCAAAGGCAGAGAAGACTTTGGAAATGCAGACTGCGTGCCAAGGTCTCTTCCCTAACACCATATTCCAGCATTACCAGTTCAGCTGCTGAATCCTCTATAAAAGAGGCTGCACACATGTCTGCTTGGCCCAACCTCAGGGAGTTTAGGAAAAAAGACAGCAGGGATCCATGGTTTGGCCCTGGTGGAAACCAAAGAATGCAATCTCCAGGTCTGGGGAGGTGGAGGAAAGGAGGCCCTGGGAAGCACAGGAGAGCAGAGAGACGAGCTCCCAGCATGCCTGGTACAATTTCTCTGTCAGTGCACACATTTGGTTTCCAGAAACCGAACATTTAACCCGGCAGCCCAACCAGAGTGTCAGCTCTTTGCACAAAGATGTTATGTAACTAAATGCTTTTGAATGAATCCACAAGCAAGTGAGAGCCAGGACACATTAGAACTGGGATATATCACTTTAACTCCATTTATCCACAAAGCCCTGGTTCTACCTTTCAAAATACGTAAGACTCATTGTTTTTAGGCAATTTTCATTTTGGATTACAGTTTTCTACAGAAATGTCTAGGGACCATAGGACTTTAGAGAGGAATTTTCTACCTGATTTAATTTTTTACGTAACATATGATTTAAGAATGTTTTAAAAGATATAAATTCATTATGATTCTTTAGTCATTTTTATTCCCAACTATAAGTTTTCTGATGGCAACATCAGGCATTTCTATTTCTTCTTAATGCTTGACTGTGCTTAATCCAGGGTTGAGTTGGCCTCAATATGGGCTCACTGAATGAACAAATAAATAATACATCTTGACACAGGGAATAAAGGGGAAGGACAAGGTAGTTATTTACTTAGGAGCCAGCCAGTTTTAATACTGTTAATTTTATGATGTCAATGACTGAAAAGAGGTTCAACATCATTAGTCGTTAGAGAAATATCACAATGAGGTATTACTTCATAGCCATTATGATGGCTACACTAAAAGAAATGGATAACTGGGCTCAGTGGTACATGCCTGTAATCCCAGTGATTTGGGAGGCTGAGGTAGGAGGATTGCAAGGTCAAAACCAGCCTTAGCAACTTAGTGAGGGCCTAATCATCTTAAAGAGAACCTGTTTCAAAATTTAAAATAAATAAATAGGGCTAGGGAAGTGGTTCAGTGGATAAGCACCCCTGAGTTCAATCCATGATATAATAATAATAATAATAATAATAATAATAATAATAATAATAAAACAAGTACTGGTGAAGAAATTAGAAGCTGTGTACATTTTTGGTGAGTATGTAAAATGGTATGTCTTTGTAAAATAATACACCCAAATTGGAAACAACTCAAATGTCCATTAGCTGATGAATATAGTATTTCTATAAAATGGAATATTATTCTATATAATGGAATATTATCTAGCCATAAAAAGAAATCAAGTTTTGATAATATGCTATGACATGGATGAACATTAAAAACACTATGCTAAATGAAAGAAGTCAGACACAAAAAGGCCACATATTGCATGATTCCATTTATGTGAAATGTTCCGATTAGCAGGTCCATAGAGACAGGAAGTAGATCATCTAGGCCAGAGTTGGAGGGAGGAGGAAGGGGGAACAGCTGCTTGATGGGCATAAGTTTCTTTTTGGCAGATGAAAGTATTCTGGAATCAATAGTGTTTATGGTTGCACAACTCTCTGATATATTGAAAACCACTGAAATGTCTAGTTTATAAGGTGGATTTTATAGTATGTGCATTACAGCTCAATTTAACCCAAGGAAAAAGTCAGCGGTTTGATAAACTTATTCCATTCTGTTCCTTCTTTTCTTTCTTTTGCTTTTATTCCATTTTTTTTTCTAAAAAAATGTGAAAAACATAGCTTTGAGATAACTTCACCTTATTGGAAAATGAGACAGCTACATCTTCTCTGCTTGCTCTGCTCACTCAAGACTTTTGTGCCAAATTACTCTTGGTGCAATTTCATCTTGTGAGTTAGTTTGAATTTGCTCTCCTACTAATGCTTAATGTGGCACGAACATCTAACATAAAATATATAGACTGATATTTAGTAGGTACTTTCTCATGGCTGATGAGAAGTTTCTTTGTGCTGCTTCTCATCTCTCTTCCTGCTCTTCCCGACCTCCAATTCCTTGTAACCTCGGATCTGCTCTCTGTAACTGTACATGAGTTTGCATTTTCTAGAATTTTATGAAAATAGAATCATATAATAAGTATTTTTTTTTTGGACTTGGCTTCTTTTATTCAGCATAATTATTTTAAGACTCATCTATGATTATTTTGAGGTTTAAACATAATTTATTGCTGACTATTATCACAATTTGGTTTATCCACTCATCAGATGATGAACATGTGAGTTGCTTATAGTTTTGGGCTCTTACAAATAGAACTGTTATTGACTTTTGTATATACATCTTTGGTCATAGATTTCCTTTTCTATTTTATCTTAGATAAACACCTAGGGGTGCAATGGCTGGGTCATATGGTAGGCATATATTTAACTTTTTAAAGAGACTGCCCAATTATTTTCCAAGGTGGTTGTACCATTTTACATTCCAACCAATAGTGACTGAGAATGGAAATATCTTTAAATGAAAGGAAAGA